ATTCATCGAAAACATTTGCATCAGTTCAGTAAAAATCAAAATTCAGTCAACTTTAATTCTGTTTTTTTTTAAATCTCATTTAATTACATTCCATGCATTTTCATGGCATCATACATCTTTTTAAAGGAAAAAAAAATCATTTAATTACATTCCATGCATTTTCATGGCATCATACATCTTTTTAAAGCAATTCAAAGTCATCATAATAACATTTTGGTTTTACAAGCAGATTGGTAAAAGCGATTCGACACAATGTAAAAATTAGCAGGCTAAATATCTCGAGTTTTGAGCTTTACCTGGTTATTTTATGAAACTACGCTGCGCGTAGGTCATTTTCATGTGCTCGTTTTATTTTTTTGACGTTGTTTGTGGTCACATTTCTACTTGTCAGAGCTTATTTAACCGGGTGTTTTTATTTGCACTTTTGAACTTTTCTATTAAATTTCGTTCTACGTAAATCATTTTAATGTATTCTGTTCCGGACTGACCCAATGACTAGGCATGATCCAATCCACTTCTACTCCCAGAACGGGCCAATTTCCTAAGTCCAACCTTCTTTGGTGGATAGTTTGCCTTTCCGCCCTTCATACAGGGGAAGCTGACCAATTTACCCTTGGCCTGAAGCACCTCTCCCCGTTGTCTCTGGCCGTCACACACAGTTCCACCATCCAGAAACAGCTAAGACGCTTGTGCCTGTAACTGCGCCCTTGCCCGTGCCAACGGCTAGTCATAAACACGTCTGCCCGTCCCAACGGCTATTTCTGGCAGTTATCTATTCTTTGGGAAACAATTATCTCGCCCCGAAAATAGGGACCAATGGCCAAGCGCTGGGGGCATTATAAAAACCCTCTCATTTAAGAGGGTTAGATATCCAATTTCTCACCTTAAAACACATATATTTTGTACTTGCTCGCTCTCTTGCTCGTTTTCTTACTTTAGCATCGGAGTGTCTTGCAGGTACACCCCCCCATCCTCTTTCACACCCAACATCACAGACGTTTGTCATTGGCCCATCTCAGATTCTGATCATCGGTAATGAAATTCTAGTATGCAGATCTCATATGTCCCAAGAACATTGATCTCTGCTGAAACAAGGACGAGGACAGATCATGACCAATTTAAATATCTTTAAATTGTACCAATGTCATGACCAATGTCATGGCGTCTGTTGTGACATCAGAAGGTTGACAGACTTATTTATCTCACCATTTAAATTGTGCAGAATTGTAAATGCTGAAAGATAAATAACACAATGAATTGTTAACCCAGTTCGGTGCAACATCACCTACATCTAGGGGCTACCAAGCCAGGAAGGAAATCCATTATTAGCAGAATTAATTCAGAGCTAAACTCCCTTGTTTACAACCCCTCACTTAATCTCTACCCAATGCAATTTCTGCCTAGAGACCACTAGACAAGAGTAATACCCACTCACTCCCCCTCAATCACCGCAATGATAATCAATTCACAATTACAATCTGAAGACACTTTTCAAACACACCTCGATCTTGCTTCACAGCTTTGATCAAGGAACACGCATTCTTGCTTAACAGCTTTGAGTGGCACAATAGCTTAGAACCTACCTAACCAATGCAACATACAGTTGCTTGGTGTACAAGTATTCCTAAGACACACGTGAAGAACCAAACTTCTTCACTCACAAAACAAACGTGAAGAGCAACACTCTTCACTCACAAATATGTCTACCACGATGTATCAAAAGATACAAAGGGTGACTTACACACAAGGGACTCTCAAACCCTAGACCTTTATTTTACACTCAAGTTGTTCTTTATGTGAGTGCTTAATTTCCTCTACTTCTGCTCCTCCTTAAATAGTAGTGCAGACTGGGCTTGGGCTGCTCCAAAGTAACAAACATTAGTTTTAACAAAGTAAAACTAATTGCCACAGTTCAAGGTGCTGATAAATTAGGTCATGATACTGCCTGGAATCTCGTCTGAGATAACTAAGGAACCCTAACAAGTTTCCTGAAATCTAACCTGAGATATATCAGGTATCATAACAGAAAAACAAACCCTGCATGCCTGATGTCATACGATCAATGTCATAACATTCAGTCATGACATTCAGCTTCACTTACTTTTAGCTTTCCAACTTGCCCTGCTGAACACTTCTGCAGAATTTTCTTCATGACAGTAGAAACAAATGTTTTATAGTTTCCTAAAAAGTCTCAAAGATCCTTTTTATGAACACCAATTAAATCTGCACTTTGTTTCTAATAACTCTATTTGGCCTGTACATACTGATGAGGAATATCCAACAGGACCAAAACACTTCTATCAAGAGATATAACATAGCAGCCCCTGCTGTACCAGACAGTGATGTCATGACGTTCAGTATGACATCCATGACAACATTTTTCTTTTCTTCAGCTCCTGCTAGCTCCTGTTGCACTAGACAGGGATGTCATGACTTTGGTAATGACATCATGTTCAAAACACATGATAACAGTCCTGTCATCAGTTTCTGCTAGCTCATGCTGCACCAGACAGCGATGCCATGACTTTGGTAATGACATCCTGTTCAAAACACATGACAACAGTTCTGTCATCAACTCTTGCTGCACCAGACAGCGATGTCATGACTTTGGTAATGACATAAGTGCAGGATCATGTTTTACCAAAATTTAGTCAATCATAGAACCAAGGAATCATGGAACTAACAATTCCCCCTTTGGCAAATTTTGGCTAAAACAACCAAACAGCTTATCAGGGCAGCAATAGTCAGTAAAAAGACATCCAACCTCTCAACTATCATGCTCCCCCCTTAATAGTTGCATACTTCTCTTTCCTTAGCAGTAGCAATGGTCAACACTTTACTCCCCCTTGGTTTAGTCAAAAATTAACAAAAATGGGAGTAAATGTACATACACTCATCTAAGTTGCTTGACCTCTAATAAAGACAACACCACTTCAGCACCAATCCATTGACAAGGATTTAAACCCCTCTGTTGAACTCAACATAAATCAGAGCACTAAGTTTTAATTATCCAACTTATGCATATGAACAGCATACTGACTACTTTACACTGTGATCCATCATGACGAGAAACAGCCTCCTTTGCAAATAACTCCACATAGATATACCCTATGAGCATAGTCATTGAATCTTAAGTTCTTGTCTTGTCTGAAGCTGCACCTTTAGGAACGACACATTTGACATCACCAATTAAAGGATAATCAATTAAATACTTGCCACAAGTAACAATTGATTTTAAATCCCCAATTTGAGACACACAAATATTCTCATCAGAGGTCTAAGGACACAAGCTTGCCTGAGCTTCAGCAATCTTTGTACACAGCTCCATAGCAGCACAATGTCAACACAAGTAACGCAGCCACACATCAGATAGAAACACAACTCCCCTTGTCATGCATAAAGAACACTCCCCCTAAAAGAGAGAACCCAAACACATGGAAACACATGCAACTCTGCACCCCTTGCTTCACAAGCCACACCAGAACCAAACCTTATAGGAGAGGTAGTCACATGATGGACATAACTATCTACAAGATCTCCCAGATTCAGCTATAAAAAGTCTTCAAGATGTCAGGGTGAAAGTCACTCCTTATGCATAAGATCAAGGCTGATGGTGTCTTGATCTTCATCTTCACCTGTCACACCACTTGGAGAGAGGCTCAAAACCCTGGTTTAATCCATTGATACCCAATGACAGAATAAAATATATTGTCAGGTTCACCATGAGCTGGAGCAGTAACACAATGTCACAACATCTGGTCTGACATTCTATCTTCATAAAATCCCAAACTGTTTGAAACCACAAACAATCTTGATACATAAGTGCACTCTTGCAGCAACACATTCTTGATAAAAGTATAACTCCCCATATCAAGGATAATCAGTGCTCGTTTAGAAGCACGTCAATGGAAAACATAAGACTCATCTTCATGTCTTCAAGAGTTCACTCTCTGTTCAACACACCTGCTGGACGCATTCACTAACTGCTTGCACCATAAGCAAATAGTACACCCATCAAGCAGAAGCTCTCCCTCTATCTTTGATAAGAACTGCTCCAAGATCACCACATTATATCTAAAGTCCAACTTCACGCTCAAGCAGTGAGAAGGCACCAAACTGATCCACTTCTTCCTAGAGTTACTTGTAGCAGAAGAAACCACTTCTCCACAATTATTTTGACCTTAGCCTCAAATAAACATCCCATAAACCAAGACATTCTTTACCTCACCATTCTCCCGTATGACAAGGTAAAGTACTTCTTAGTCAAGATGTGAATCACAAGTTCCACACCAGATCTTCAAGACCTTCTCCAAGTAGAACCAAACCAGATGATACATATCACAGACACATTATACACTGGTTCTTTATATGCCCACAACTGGACTTACTATTGCCTAGTAATCCAACTGAAGATCTTCAGAGAACACAGCTCCACCAGCTTGATAAAAAACAACTCCAACAGAGGGTAATCTTCCATACACAACTTAGGGCATCTACCACAAGCTCTAATATATGAACAAAACCAGATCCTCCTTTGGTCTTCAACCAACTACCCTTCTGCACAAGAGTAATTAGTTCCAAGCATGAACAGTCCCAGAACCTTATGTGGTCTTCAAATGACTACCCTTCTACACAAGAATAGTTTTCTAAAGGCTCACTACTTAAATAACCAAATGTCACTGTTTTGTAGCTTGTGTTTAGAAATATTATGTTTATTTAATAACTGGACTGGATTGGATTATTAATGTTGGTGTATCTTATTATAATACTAACAAGATTGAATGTTGCATAAATTGGCTATAAAATGGTGGACTGAAAAATCTGTAACAAGAAGCTTGCTGCAAAATTTTACCAGCTTATTAAAAAAAAAAAAATCTATGTATTAAAAAAATGACGAGATTAATGCTGTAATTCATGAAATAGTCTCTAATATGACAGCATAATACAAGTAAACATGACAATAAAGAAATGAAAAACAACCGAACATACTCTGGTTGAAGTTATGTTTTGTTATTTTTACTAGCTTGTCTTCTAGCTCGCCTCTCTCGGGAACTGGACGGTCGTCTAAAACTTCCATTTTCCGATTCAGATTCATCCAAATCTGGAAGTGATTTCTGAAATAATTCAATTTTATGAGATTGATAAAGAGAGAATATAACATATACATGATTGACGATGTTGCTTAACTATAATTACCTCTCTAATCTCATTGAAACTCACTACATAGAAGGTTGCAACTGCAGCTGCAACAATGCCCAAAACTGGCAGAGCTGTTTGCATTGCATCCATATCTCCCTGCTTTTGAGTTTCGTTTACTTTTCCAACTAAATTTAAGGAATTGTTTTTTGGTGATGTATATGGATAGTATTAGATAAGATATGCTTCTATTCTATGGTTGCAGTTTTACGGTTTCAAAAGGATTGGGATCTTTATGCACCAATAGAGAACCCTCCCCACCGGTAACCTGGTGTTACCTGTTTACACTATACTTTTTTTTAATAGTTTTTTCTACTAATAAATTAACATCTTTCAAATTTAAATAATAGTTTTTATATTATGGTATAATCATTTGAGAAAAATATTTTAAATATCTTTAAAATTATATATAAATCACTTTGATCTTATTCCCTAACTATTTCATTTAATTTGAATTAATTTTTCAAAACATTCTATTTTTTCAAACTTATTATTATTTATTATTATTATTTTAGTCAATAGTTCACTGAAATATTTTGATCTTATAAATATTTTAATTAAATAAAAATAAATTCTCTACAAAATATAAAGAATAATAATTTAAACAAAAACAAAATCATAAAATTATTAAATTAGTGAAATTATTATTTTAATTAAAATTTATAATATCAAAAATAAAAAATATAGAGAGAGTGTGATTCTAAAAAAATATATGATTAGAAAAAATTGTATCTATTACTAAATAAAATAAATTGGATTGATTAAATTTATCAAATTTGTATTCAAATCAATCAACATAGATCTTTTATCATAAAAAAATTAAGAAACAAAATTTGGTGTCAAATTAAATTTGACATTTGATTTCAACCGATTCTAACTACTAATTAACAAACCAACAAATTAAACTTGTGTAATTATTGAATGAGTAATTAGATTAATAAAAGTCATTAAATTAAATACTATTTAATGGGATCAAATATAATGAATAATATTTGACACATAAATAATTATTTGGATTAATAAAAGTCATTGGATAGAATATTATTTAATGGATAAGATATGGTGTCAAAATTAATGTTTGACACCGGTGTCAATTAATCATATATATATATATATATATATATATATATATATATATATATATATATATATATATATATATATATATATATATATATATATATATATATATATATATATATATATATATATATATATATATATATATATATATATATATATATATATATTCCAATCGAGAATTAAAAATGAAATGATGATTGGAAGTGATGGTAGTTTTGAGCTTTTGACGCAGTGAAAAGGAGATCTACAAGGTTAACACTATAACACTCAAGTCAATATGTGAGAAGAAGAGTAAACTCAAATTGTGTTTGAAACTTGTTATGTAATCTTGACATATTCTCTATATATAATAGAGAGGGAATAACTATCTCGCTAACAATTATGGGTGAATTGTAGAGAGTCGTTTGAGTACCGTCATTTTCAAAACCATCCAACAATCCACACACACTCTAAATAACATCCTTAAATTGTTCCAACCATAGTTTCTCAACTGTAACACCATTTGATAGAGTTTCTTTTTTGACCACTTTTGACACATTTTGCAAGAAGGAGCCAAATTCTGTTCTAGAGGTTTCCCTTTGGTTTCAAGCATCCTAGAGGCTTCTATAAGGTGTATTGGAAGTGTCCAAAACATTGGTTTACTTATGAAGCAAGTTTCTTGAAAATTGGCAAGTGAGCTTTAAGAGGTAAGTTTTCAAAGAACTTGAACTTTTAGAAAAATGATTATGTGTAGTTTGATTGTGTGTATGCATAAAAGAGAGGTTGAAGATGATGGAAATGTTTTGTAATTCTGTTTTCGTTTAGATTTTACACTAGTACATTTGTAGAAAAATATGCATGTATGAGTATATATATGTATGAGAGGAAATAAGCAAAAGGAAAGCAAGAAAAATTCAAAGGAAAAACAAAATTTTAAGTTTGGAAGGTAATAGGCCAATCTATCAAAGCAAGAGGTCGGTCTGTCAAGGTCAATAGGTCGGCCTATAAAGGTAACAGGTTGACCTGTAAAGGTTTTAAGTCAGCCTATCTGAGGCGACCTAAAGGCAGTGGCCGCAGGCTTCGTTATCGGAGCATGGAGGTCGGCTCATCCATGATATGTGTCGACGTATACTGAAGCAAAAGCTTTTATAGGTCGACCTGAACTCGTATATATCGGTCTATGCAACATTTTCAACACTTAAAACTCATTTTTGATGCATGAAACATGCTATGCATCCTAATGCTAAGATGATCAATGCACATCTAGACTTTGGTTGATACCGCCCAATGTACAAAAACGCTAAAGTTCCTCCTCGTTTTGACATCATTCAAAACATGACTAAATGGAAGAATGTACTCACATACTCCCCCTTTTTGATGATGGCAAAACTCAATCATATAAACATTGCATTTTTCTTTTGTACACTGCATAACTCCCCCTGAATATGTGCATTATCCTCTTCATAACCTTCTCCACCTTTGACAACATCAAAAAGAGACAAGTAATCCATTAGAAGTATCATATAGATACACATTTCAAATATGTATTATACTACACATAGGAAATTGCAAAGAAAAGGTAGTGCATTCCCGTACAATATATGTAAACACACAAACTTAATAAACACACCAATAATACTCATATTTATTGAATTTAATAAATTATAGTACTAGTACTACATCAATACATAAACCGAATAACATAAAACAAACCAAACAGAAATGGAAATGCACGATTACATAAAAGAAAGACTAAATGCATGACCAACATGTAGAAAATCCTAAGACACATGACAAGAACTACTCAAGCTTCACACATCATTGTCTTCCGCGACCTCCAGGTCTCACTCCATGGAACCAGCCTTGACCATCACTTCCAAACAGACGGTCCAGGAAGTCACACATTTCTTGATAAAATTGTGTATAATGATAATTGTGTTCATTCTATGAAGCAATCATTTGATTGACCTTTGCAATGGTAGCAGTTGTATTTGCACCCATTTCATCTTTTAAAGAAACTAGCTTCTCAGTCACAAAAGATGCAAAGTCCTCAAAGTTTGCATTTTGAGTCTTCATGTGTTCTTGCATAGTATGGAGTTGTTCCATCTAAGCATCTTGTTTGATCTGCATATTTTGAAGAAATGTTATGATGGAGGATTGATCTCTGTGCACATCATCATTCCTTTGACTTGTTTCATGGTCGACATCGTGCATAGGTTCATCACCGGTAACATGTGGCTCGGTAGTGGAGTTAGCAAATTTTACAGGATCATCAAAGTTGTACACCTTCCATCTATTTTTACCCATCCTAAAGTAATATACTTGATGTTCCTCATCCCAAAAGTACCTGATATTTATTAAAGTACGTTTGGGAAATTCTTGAACTGGGTCAGGCGATATGAACAACAAGTTTGGCATGCCAATATTGAAGAAGTTGAAAATTTTGGAGATCATAGACATGTAGCAAAAGGATGTACCTTTATCACACTCCTCGATTATGAACATTTGGTAGACAAAGTAATGCGTCAGTTGATATGAATCTTGTACAGAAGAATATACACAAGATGTATTTCATAACTATCTACTCTTGAGTACCCTCCTTTCTTTGGGCATAAAATGTGTGAAACCAACCCTTACAGAATCCTTGGAACCATCTTCAGTTGACTGACATCCAGAGCATTGTGACAGTCCAACGACCAAGGTGATTTGAGCATCTCATTCAGATGTGTATTCTACTAGAAATCCCTATGAATGTCGAAGTTCGTTACCAACAGAACAACCTCTTCATCAACATCAGGATCATAATGGTGATATCAAACAACTATTTCCATATATCACCAATAACCCCATATACACTATTACCAATTGTGAATTTGAAGGAGGATTCATTTTGATTATGCAGGCCGGAGTAGAACACCCAGATAAGGTCTTTTTCACCTTAATCTTGTGACAGCTGCATAAAGTATTTTATCTGCTGGTGCTCGACAAGTCGAACAACCTCTGGAATGTCCAGGCATCCAGTCACCACTGGCTTCCATGCGTGTTTCTTCATGACAAGGTGATGTTGATGTTTTTTTTTTTTGCAAATTCTGCAACGCTCTCATCCGAAACCAGAGAGAACACAATTTAAGGACCATTTGAAGAAATAACACATTTTTCTTGTCTCTAGAATCACTCTTTTGGATGCCATTGAAACTTGATATAAGGAATTTTTTTAGAATAGATGTTTGAATGACAAGGCTTGAGAGTAATATGAGGTTTGGAAAATGAAGAGAAATGATGAAATTTTATAGAGAATGATAAATGTAGAAAGTTAAAGGTTTTAGGAAAGTGGAAGGTTGAATGAGTTAATGAGATTGATTAAATAACACTAGTGGAGAATTAAAGGTCCTTTGTGGAGTTACAATGACTAACTGGAAGTTGAATGACAATTGAAATAGATTCATGAATCAACCATGAATGCAGAAAAATGAAACATTATGATTAAATATGTCTTAATTCGACCTTTCACTGTCATAGGCCTACCTAAAACTAATATGTGTCGACACATGTTGTAGCAGAAACTAGAAAATTCAATAGAAATTTATTATGTGTCGACGTATACTGTAACCTTTTATGAAAAATACTAAAATTGATTATTATAGGTCAACCTATATGACATTGTGTCGACATGAAGACCTCAAAAATGCAAAAATATGACTCAATTGAACTTTTAGTGACATTTAGAGACTCAAATTGACTTATGAGTGATAACTTGATGAGAGACACATGCATATGATAGATTTTTATAGTTTGTTTCCTAGACTCATGCAATCATGAAAATTTAAGCATGAATTGGTTTAAGATATAGATAAAGAAATGAAGACATTTGAATATTGTTACTATAAGCATATAGAATGCAACACACAATAGTCATATTTAAAATTTTTGAAAGTAAACACATATCACAAATATCATACACATAACTCATCACATACCTTTGAGAAATAAACAGGTAAAAGAAATACTTACTTACGAAACAAGAAAAAAAG